TCCCTTGGCTGAGAAGCAACCCCACACATGAATGGTCTCAGGATGCTTTACTGTTGGCATGACACAGGACTGATGATAGCGCTCACCTTGTCTTCTCCGGACAAGGTTTTTTCCGGATGCCCCAAACAATCGGAAAGGGGATTCATCAGAGAAAATGACTTTACCCCAGCAGTCCAATCCCTGTACCTTTTGCAGAATATCAGTCTGTCCCTGATGTTTTTCCTGGAGAGAAGTAGCTTCTTTGCTGCCCTTCTTGACACTAGGCCATCCTCCAAAAGTCTTCGCCTCACTGTGCGTGCAGATGCACTCACACCTGCCTGCTGCGATTCCTGAGCAAGCTCTGCCCTGGTGGTGCCCCGATCCCGCAGCTGAATCAACTTTAGGAGACGATCCTGGCGCTTGCTGGACTTTCTTGGGTGCCCTGACGCCTTCTTCACAACAATTTAACCTCTCTCCTTGAAGTGCTTGATGATCCAATAAATGGTTGATTTAGGTGCAATCTTACTAGCAGCAATATCCTTGCCTGTGAAGCCCTTTTTGTGCAAAGCAATTATGACGGCACGTGTTTCCTTGCTGGTAACCATGGTTAACAGAGGAAGAACAATGATTTCAAGCACCACCCTCCTTTTAAAGCTTCCAGTCTGTTATTCTAACTCAATCAGCATGACAGAGTGATCTCCAGCCTTGTCTTTGTCAACACTCTCACCTGTGTTAACGAGAGAATCACTGACATGATGGCAGCTGGTCCTTTTGTGGCAGGGCTGAAATGCATTGGAAATGTTTTTTGAGGATTAACTTCATTTTCATGGCAAAGAGGGACTTTGCAATTAATTGCAATTCATCTGATCACTCTTCATGACATTCTGGAGTAAATGCAAATTGCCATCATCAAAACTGAGGCAGCAGACTTTGTGAAAATTAGTATTTGTGTCATTCTCAAAACTTTTGACCACGACTGTAGTGTCACGCTCACTTGGCGAACAGTTCAAATTGTTTTAATTTAAAAATGAGCAAAGGATTCACTATTTGCTTCATTGCATAACTGTCATAAAAAAACTGAAATTTTGGGGGTGAAATCTTCACCTTTGGTTTCGAAGGTATAAAGATTTAGTTCGATAACAGACTGTTACAATGTATCATGTATTCACTGTATCAGTGGCGGTCAGTGCCGTTTATGATGAGGGAGGACGTTTCTTTTTTTCAAGAGCATGGCCTTATTTTTATTACAGCATGTTGGATGGCTGTCATTCATATTCCATTCACCCAGTTCAATGTAACATCGATAGGTTTAGGCTACTACATTAACTCAAATTTTCCCTATACCCATCATGAGTTTGCTACAACCTAGCCTATGAATAAAAGTTTACAACGTACAGTTGAAGTCGAAGTTTACATACACCTTAGCCAAATACATTTAAACTCAGTTTTTCACAATTCCTGACATTTAATCCTAGTAAAAATTCCCTGTATTAGGTCAGTTAGGATCACCACTTTATTTTAAGAATGTGAAATGTCAGAATAATAGTAGAGAGAATGATTTATTTCAGGTTTTATTTATTTCATCACATTCCCAGTGGGTCAGAAGTTTACATGCACTCAATTAGTATTTGGTAGCATTGCCTTTAAATTGTTTAACTTGGGTCAAACGTTTCGGGTAGCCTTCCACAAGCTTCCCACAATAAGTTGGGTGAATTTTGGCCCATGCCTCCTGACAGAGCTGGTGTAACTGAGTCAGGTTTGTAGGCCTCCATACTCGCACACACATTTTCAGTTCTGCCCAACACAATTTCTATAGGATAGAGGACAGGGCTTTGTGATGGCCATTCTAATACCTTGACTTTGTTGTCCTTAAGCCATTTTGCCACAACTTTGGAAGTATGCTTGGGGTCATTTGGAAGACCCATTTGCGACCAAGCTTTAATTTCCTGACTGATGTATTGAGATGTTGCTTCAATATATCCACATAATTTTCCTTCCTCATGATGCCATCTATTTTGTGAAATGCACCAGTCCCTCCTGCAGCAAAGCACCCCCACAGCATGATGCTGCCACCCCCGTGCTTCACGGTTGGGATGGTGTACTTCGGCTTGCAAGCCACCCCCCTTTTCCTCCAAACATAACGATGGTCATTATGGCCAAACAGTTCTATTTTTGTTTCATCAGACCAGAGGACATTTCTCCAAAAAGTACGATCTTTGTCCCCATGTGCAGTTGCAAACCGTAGTCTGGCTTTTTTATGGCGGTTTTGGAGCAGTGGCTTCTTCCTTGCTGAGCGGCCTTTCAGGTTATGTCGATATAGGACTCGTTTTACTGTGGATATACAGTGGGGGAAAAAAGTATTTAGTCAGCCACCAATTGTGCAAGTTCTCCCACTTAAAAAGATGAGAGAGGCCTGTAATTTTCATCATAGGTACACGTCAACTATGACAGACAAAATGAGGGAAAAAAATCCAGAAAATCACATTGTAGGATTTTTAATGAATTTATTTGCAAATTATGGTGGAAAATAAGTATTTGGTCAATAACAAAAGTTTCTCAATACTTTGTTATATACCCTTTGTTGGCAATGACACAGGTCAAATGTATGCACGCATGACTGTAAGTCGCTTTGGATAAAAGCGTCTGCTAAATGGCATATTATTTATTTATTATTTTCTGTAAGTCTTCACAAGGTTTTCACACACTGTTGCTGGTATTTTGGCCCATTCCTCCATGCAGATCTCCTCTAGAGCAGTGATGTTTTGGGGCTGTCGCTGGTTAACACAGACTTTCAACTCCCTCCAAAGATTTTCTATGGGGTTGAGATCTGGAGACTGGCTAGGCCACTCCAGGACCTTGAAATGCTTCTTACGAAGCCACTCCTTCATTGCCCGGGCGGTGTGTTTGGGATCATTGTCATGTTGAAAGACCCAGCCACGTTTCATCTTCAATGCCCTTGCTGATGGAAGGAGGTTTTCACTCAAAATCTCACGATACATGGCCCCATTCATTCTTTCCTTTACACGGATCAGTCGTCCTGGTCCCTTTGCAGAAAAACAGCCCCAAAGCATGATGTTTCCACCCCCATGCTTCACAGTAGGTATGGTGTTCTTTGGATGCAACTCAGCATTCTTTGTCCTCCAAACACGACGAGTTGAGTTTTTACCAAAAAGTTCTATTTTGGTTTCATCTGACCATATGACATTCTCCCAATCCTCTTCTGGATCATCCAAATGCACTCTAGCAAACTTCAGACGGGCCTGGACATGTACTGGCTTAAGCAGGGGGACACGTCTGGCACTGCAGAATTTGAGTCCCTGGCGGCGTAGTGTGTTACTGATGGTAGGCTTTGTTACTTTGGTCCCAGCTCTCTGCAGGTCATTCACTAGGTCCCCCCGTGTGGTTCTGGGATTTTTGCTCACCGTTCTTGTGATCATTTTGACCCCACGGGGTGAAATCTTGCGTGGAGCCCCAGATCGAGGGAGATTATCAGTGGTCTTGTACGTCTTCCATTTCCTAATAATTGCTCCCACAGTTGATTTCTTCAAACCAAGCTGCTTACCTATTGCAGATTCAGTCTTCCCAGCCTGGTGCAGGTCTACAATTTTGTTTCTGGTGTCCTTTGACAGCTCTTTGGTCTTGGCCATAGTGGAGTTTGGAGTGTGACTGTTTGAGGTTGTGGACAGGTGTCTTTTATACTGATAACAAGTTCAAACAGGTGCCATTAATACAGGTAACGAGTGGAGGACAGAGGAGCCTCTTAAAGAAGAAGTTACAGGTCTGTGAGAGCCAGAAATCTTGCTTGTTTGTAGGTGACCAAATACTTATTTTCCACCATAATTTGCAAATAAATTCATAAAAAATCCTACAATGTGATTTTCTGGATTTGTTTTTCTCAATTTGTCTGTCATAGTTGACATGTACCTATGATGAAAATTACAGGCCTCTCTCATCTTTTTAAGTGGGAGAACTTGCACAATTGGTGGCTGACTAAACACTTTTTTTCCCCACTGTAGGTTGGAGGACGTCCTCCGGAAGTTGTCATAATTACTGTGTAAGTCTATGGAAGGGGGTGAGAACCGAGAGCCTCCTAGGTTCTGTATTGAAGTCAATGTACCAAGAGGAGGACGGAAGCTAGCTGTCCTATGGCTACACAATGGTGCTACCCTACAGAGTGCTGTTGAGGCTACTGTAGACCTTCATTGCAAAACAGTGTGTTTTAATCAATTAGTTGGTGACATGTGAATATATTTAGTATAGTTTTATCTAAAAAGGATAACTTTTTCAATGTTTTTACAATTTAAATGTTTATGAAATTCACAGAGGAGGATGGTCCTCCCCTTCCTCCTCTGAGGAGCCTCCACTGCACTGTAACCAAGTGATTTAATTTCTGTAGAAATGAAACTTATGCCATTTCAATGTAATCTCTTGCTGTATCCACTAGATTGCACACGTCATCCACCACGATATAAAATAATCATGCATCAATATCAAGTTTGCCTCTGTTTTGGAATTTGTTTTAAGAAATTGAAAATTCCATTGTTTTAAACACTCAAATTGTGTTGGGTTTCATTACTTGTCTTAGAGAACCAATAGTAAGTCATCCTGAATGGACCCCCCAAACAGAGGGAGGCAATGGAGAGGTAGAGGAGGAGCCAACCATGTCGATCACAGAAGAGGTGAGGAGATTAATTTTTTCTTTAGATAAGCAAAACATGATTGGCATTTCCTTCTTTAGATTGATATAGATTTCCCTGTTGTTTGTCTCAGGTGCTGAGGCTGGTCAGAGAGAAGAGGAAGTGATAGCCAACCAAGGGAGACGGGAAAGAGGTAGGGGGGCCAGGGGAGAGAGGAGAGGGGTTAATGGGGGGAACCCGAGGGAGGATAGGAGAGAGCGAGATGACAGAGCAGGGAGGGGAAGAGGAAGAGGAGAAGCAGGGGAGGATGCCAGGGGTAAGGGTGGTAGAGCGGGAGGAGGAGGAAGAGAGAGAGTGGGAGGCAGAGGAGAAGATAGAGGGAGAGGCAGAGGAGGAGAGAGATGGGGAGGTAGAGGAAGAGGTAGAGAGAGAGGGGGAGGGAGAGGAAGATCTGCAGGCAGTGGCACCCCTCAGATTCATCCATTGTCGTTAGAAACCTTGGAGGATCTGTCAGGGAAAGACCCTTCAGAGGTAGCCATCACTCTGGCTTACAGCAAAGAACTGCAAGTTCTCCTCGACGAGAGAGAGATGCGACAGGACCTCATTCAGCTTCTCTGCCAAGTATTATGCAAGGCCTTCTTGTCTAAAACCCCACGCAAAAACATACAGCGCTTGACTGGCTTAATCAAGGATTCCGGATTCCTCCGAACCATCCTGCCCCATTACGTGATGGGAATGGCATCAGAGTTTGACAACACCCGCCGGGACCAGTACCCCCAGCACTTGGACAACATCATGACCCTTCTCTCCGAGGTGCTCAGCATCTTCCCAGCTAGCTCTATCCAGGCCGTGTCCATGATAGTGGCCCTCTTCAGACCAGTCATCAACAGCCTGCGAGCTGTAGAGGTGGACGTCCTGGAACAGACGAAGGAGAACCTGGAGAGGATCCAGGGCCTGGTCGAGCACCTCCAAGAGAGAACCAGGGAGGGCACCCTGAGGTCTGACAACTACTCCTTCATCACCACCCAGGAAGACGCTCCACCTGGGGAGGCCGACTTCAGGACCCTGCCCATCTACCCCACCCCCGAAGAGTTCCACCTGGACCAGAGGACCTACCTCAGGCCCAACCTTATCTCTCATCGCTACGCCAGCGGACTGCTCTACCTGGACACGCACTTCCGGCTCATGCGAGAGGACTTTGTGAGGCCTCTTCGAGAGGGAATCCAGCAGCTGCTTCAGAGCCAGCAGGACCTGGGCAATAAAGACATCCCTTTGAGAAAGATGCGCTTTGATGACATCAGAGTGTACTTTGACACTCGACTGGTGGTTCCATTGTGCACCCCGTCTGGTTTGGCCTATAAGGTCCATTTTGACTCCCATCCTCTTAAGGTCAGTGAGTTTGATTACGAGTATTTGAATAGAAAAATAACTTACCAAGATTTGCCAACATTTTGTAGTTATATTCCTTAAAATATAGTGAGATTGTACAATACTCTTTGAAATTACATTAATCCGTACAATGTTTTTCCAGATCCATAGAGTGCATTCAAATATATTTTCATGTTATTCTCTGTCCCGCACAGTTTGTCAACTGGCAGAACTCCAAGCGGCTGATATACGGCTCCCTGCTCTGCATGTCCTGTGACAACTTTGACACCTTCCTGTTTGCTACTGTGTCGGACCGGGACCCCAAGGAGCTACAGAAGGGCTTTGTCCAGCTCAGTTTCTTAGGGGAGAGCAGGCGAGCCCTGGCAGGAGTGGAGGCCCAACAGTCCTTCCTCATGGTGGAGACCACAGCCTACTTTGAGGCCTACCGCTACGTCCTCGAAGGGCTGCAGGAGCTGGAGGTAGAGGATCTGCCCTTCCAGAGGTCAGTGTACTGTCTGTCGTTGTTAAATTCAACTATTAGCTTGTTAATGCACCAGTGTTGTTGATGCTATGAGATAGAGAGTTGGCTAATCAGCTTAGGGAGAAGTTTAAGATAAAATATTTTGTTTTCATCATGCTTTTCTGATGAGAATCACAGATTGCATTGATACAGTTCCATACTTCTGATCTTAAAGTGCTTAACATGGTTTGTGGGTGACTTAACTCTTCCACCACCTGCTAGATGAATTTGGAAGAAATGTTGTTCACCACATATCCATTCTTGTAATGAAGAATGACATTTATGATTTATGACGACATGTAAATTACAGGTATATAGTGGAATGCAGCTCAGACGTCGAACCTCCTGCCTACCTGCCCAGGGCAGATACGTATGACCTGTCTGCTATTGCAGTGCCTGAGTTTAAGAGCAGTATCAAGAGCTTCCACACCTTAGATCCTGAAGCCTGGCCCCCCATGGAGCAGCTGGGATTGGACGAGTCCCAGATGAGAGCCCTTCAGCTCGCCCTCACCAAGGAGCTGGCCATCATCCAGGGACCCCCAGGCACAGGTGGAATACATTTTGAATAAGTCATGCATATTGAATTAGATCATGTTTACATAAATGTATATACATTTAAAATGTCCAGGCCAAAAGCTGAGAAATTATTGTGCCACGTTGCTTCATGTAACATAGTCTTTAGTGCAATGGCTCTGCAGGAGTGTAACACTTTTGGACATTTGTTTTCCCTCCATACTCATAATCTCAGGGAAGACCTACACAGGACTAAAGATCGCCCAGGCTCTGTTGACCAATCAGGAGGAGGGGAGAGGTTTCACCTCCCCCATGCTGGTGGTTTGTTACACTAACCACGCTCTGGACCAGTTCCTAGAAGGTAGGATGCAATGCACACGTCTCACGCAACTTTTGATTCTCAAATTAAGTTATTTTCCACCTCAAGCCATTCTTGAAGAATTTCAGATGCTACGTACCATCATTTTGTGTTTGACCAAAGATAATTCTGAAGGGCACTTTTGTTGTATGTATGAGCACCTTTTTCATTTGTTTAACAATGTGCACCATAGGCATCCACAAGTTTTTACCAGACGGTATTGTGAGAGTGGGTGGGCAAAGCAACAGTGAGGTCCTGAAGCGTTTCACCCTGAGGGAGCTGAAAAGCTCCCATAACTTCCGCTGCAAGCTACCTCAACATCTTCGCCATGCTTACAGTGAGGTGAGGCCCAACCTGAAACCTGAAAGTTACACTGACCAATATGTGAACATTTTAGAAATAGTCTTCAAATGTAAATTGTAAATGAGCACTCCTTTTGAAGTGAATGTAGCTCAGCTTCCATTTGTGTCAGGAATGTAACAGTCAGGTTGGCTATCTTCTGGGAAATAGTAAATCAGTGAAATAATATCACATACTGATGTTCAGAATATTGTTTCCCCTCAGATCTATGATGCATTGCGGACAGAAGAGACTAAGATCCAGACTCAGTCTGTGCAGCTGGAGTGCAGTCTTCGGGGTGTCTTAAGGGAGCAGTACCTCCAAAAGTTCATCTCAGAGAAACACTGGGATAGCCTGATCCTCCAGCCTGTGAGTCTTTGATACCGCTGTAAAATATAAAGATGATTAGCCTGTCTGTCCGACCACCACAATTACGACTATCAGGCTGGTGACTACTTCTACGACTATGACTAATAGTTCCACCACCACAGCTACTACTAGAACTATGTGCCCAAGAACACCAAGGTAACCTGCCTAAATGACTACCGACCCGTAGCACTCACGTCTGTAGCCATGAAGTGCTTTGAAATGCTGGTCATGGCTCACATCAACACCATCATCCCAGAAACCCTAGACCCACTCCAATTTGCATACCGCCCCAACAGATCCACAGATGATGCAGTCTCTATTGCACTCAACACTGCCCTTTCTCACCTGGACAAAAGGAACACCTACAGTGGGGGAAAAAAGTATTTAGTCAGTCACCAATTGTGCAAGTTCTCCCACTTAAAAAGATGAGAGAGGCCTGTAATTTTCATCATAGGTACACGTCAACTATGACAGACAAATTGAGAAAAACAAATCCAGAAAATCACATTGTAGGATTTTTTATGAATTTATTTGCAAATTATGGTGGAAAATAAGTATTTGGTCACCTACAAACAAGCAAGATTTCTGGCTCTCACAGACCTGTAACTTCTTCTTTAAGAGGCTCCTCTGTCCTCCACTCGTTACCTGTATTAATGGCACCTGTTTGAACTTGTTATCAGTATAAAAGACACCTGTCCACAACCTCAAACAGTCACACTCCAAACTCCACTATGGCCAAGACCAAAGAGCTGTCAAAGGACACCAGAAACAAAATTGTAGACCTGCACCAGGCTGGGAAGACTGAATCTGCAATAGGTAAGCAGCTTGGTTTGAAGAAATCAACTGTGGGAGCAATTATTAGGAAATGGAAGACATACAAGACCACTGATAATCTCCCTCGCAAGATCTCACCCCGTGGGGTCAAAATGATCACAAGAAAGGTGAGCAAAAATCCCAGAACCACACGGGGGGACCTAGTGAATGACCTGCAGAGAGCTGGGACCAAAGTAACAAAGCCTACCATCAGTAACACACTACGCCGCCAGGGAGTCAAATCCTGCAGTGCCAGACGTGTCCCCCTCCTTAAGCCAGTACATGTCCAGGCCCGTCTGAAGTTTGCTAGAGGGAATTTGGATGATCCAGAAGAGGATTGGGAGAATGTCATATGGTCAGATGAAACCAAAATATAACTTTTTGGTAAAAACTCAACTCGTCATGTTTGGAGGACAAAGAATGCTGAGTTGCATCCAAAGAACACCATACCTACTGTGAAGCATGGGGGTGGAAACATCATGCTTTGGGGCTGTTTTTCTGCAAAGGGACCAGGACGACTGATCCGTGTAAAGGAAAGAATGAATGGGGCCATGTATCGTGAGATTTTGAGTGAAAACCTCCTTCCATCAGCAAGGGCATTGAAGATGAAACGTGGCTGGGTCTTTCAGCATGACAATGATCCCAAACACACCGCCCGGGCAACGAAGGAGTGGCTTCGTAAGAAGCATTTCTAGGTCCTGGAGTGGCCTAGCCAGTCTCCAGATTTCAACCCCATAGAAAATCTTTGGAGGGAGTTGAAAGTCCGTGTTGCCCAGCGACAGCCCCAAAACATCACTGCTCTAGAGGAGATCTGCATGGAGGAATGGGCCAAAATACCAGCAACAGTGTGTGAAAACCTTGTGAAGACTTACAGAAAACAGTTTGACCTGTGTCATTGCCAACAAAGGGTATATAACAAAGTATTGAGAAACTTTTGTTATTGACCAAATACTTATTTTCCACCATAATTTGCAAATAAATTCATTAGAAATCCTAAAATGTGATTTTCTGGAAAAAAAAGTCTCAATTTGTCTGTCATAGTTGACGTGTACCTATGATGAAAATTACAGGCCTCTCTCATCTTTTTAAGTGGGAGAACATGCACAATTGGTGGCTGACTAAATACTTTTTTTCCCCACTGTATGTGAGAATGCTGTTCATTGACTACAGCTCAGCGTTCAACACCATAGTGCCCTCAAAGCTCATCACTAAGCTAAGGACCCTGGGACTAAACACCTCCCTCTGCAACTGGATCCTGGACTTCCTGACGGGCAGCCCCCAGGTGGTAAGGGTAGGCAACAACACATCTGCCACGCTGATCCTCAACACTGGGGGCCCCTCAGGGGTGCGTGCTTAGTCCCCTCCTGTACTCCGTGTTCACCCATGACTGCGTGGCCAAGCACGACTCCAAAACCATCATTAAGTTTGCCGACAACACAACGGTGGTAGGCCTGATCACCGACAACGATGAGACAGCCTACAGGGAGGAGGTCAGAGACCTGGAAGTGTGGTGCCAGGACAACAACCTCTCCCTCAACGTGACCAAGACAAAGGAGATGATTGTGGACTACAGGAAAAAAAAGAGGACTGAGCACGCCCCCATTCTCATCGACGGGGCTGTAGTGGAGCAGGTTGAGAGCTTCAAGTTCCTTGGTGTCCACATCACCAACAAACTATCATGGTCCAAACACACCAAGACAGTCGTGAAGAGGGCACGACAACGCCTATTCCCCCTCAGGAGACTGAAAATATTTGGCATGGGTCCTCAGATCCTCAAAAAGTTCTACAACTGCACCTTCGAGAGCATCCTGACTGGTTGCATCACCACCTGGTATGGCAACTGCTCGGCCTCCGAATGCAAGGTGCTACAGAGGGTAGTGCTACCAACATGTACAAATTACCTCTGCTAACCTGTAGCCCCGCACATTGACTCGGTACCGGTACCCCCTGTATATAGCCTCATTATTGTTATTTTATTGTTGCTCTTTTATTTTTTGCTTTAGTTTATTTAGTAAATATTTGTTCTGAACTCTTATTTTTCTTAAAACTGCATTGTTGGTTAAGGGCTTGTAAGTAAGCATTTCACTGTAAGGTCTACACCTGTTGTATTCGGCGCATGTGACAAATACAATTGTATTCTATTTTATTTGATTGGTGTTGATGTCGGATAGGACAACTAAAATGAATACGCTAACCCCAACTGCCTCTATGCTTAAAATTCAAAAAGTAGGTCTGACATTCCCAGAAAACCTTTATGAAATGATGTTGAACTGTGATAATCTGTCATTGGCCAGAGAGGAAACAATACTATTAATATGTAATCCTCAGGCACTGGATGGTTTTGAGAGCTATGGTGGGAAGAAGCCGTCTCTTATTATGGAGTGGCTGGGGTTAGGTTCCACTGCCTTCCAGCAGAGGACGCCACATCCTCAAAATTGCAATGCAGGTGAGAAGCCACTGCAGTACCACAGAGGGTAGACAAGACAACATGATCAGACAGATAATAAATGGAACAGGTACAGAGGAATGCTTCTCCTTGTGGGATTGTATTTGTCAACATTGCTTGTGAATATATTATTGATGTAATTCATGTAGCTATTAACACAAGCATTTCGCTGCACCTGCGATAACATCTGCACATCTGTGTAGGCGACCAATAAACTTTGATTAGATTTTATTTGATATTATTTAGTCTCTTGTATCTTTGAACCATTTTGGTTTTATTTACAACTCCCTTTGATCCTAACTCAAACTATATGGGGTGAAAAAGAGTTCAGTGCTCATTTTCATGTTGAGAGAACTACTAGGAAGTTAGAAACTCTAGTCCTCACTCCTCACCCATTTTCACCTCTCTATTTTATAATAGATGGGGAAATGGACGAAGCTATAGAGGAAGAGGACGGACCTGATCGAGATAGCGGAGGAGGCAGACCTGATCCAGGCAGAACGCTTTGTAGAAGACTCAAACACGCATCATGGTCGGGATGAAGATCGAAGAAAGATGGAGGAGATAGTCAGGGATATGGCAGAACAGATGCTGGCCATGAACATGGAGAACACTGAGATACAGGCAGAGCAGAGTGAAGAAGGCTGGGAGGTAAGAACCAATAATTAGCCTTGATCCAACAATATGACCAAAATACATTGCATCATAAATCATGTGTATCATAAACCAATTTAGCTGGTTATTGATTTTAAATAACAACCTCCTGCTTTAGAGTATTTAAAAATATTTAGCTTAGCACCTGTCTTTCTACAATACTCCTAAGCTAAAGGTGTCGTTAAAGTTATTTGAAAAGCTCCCCATGTCTCTCTGTATGTGCGCAGATGCAGCGGGTACAGAAGAGGAAGATGAAACATCGTATTAGGAGGGAGCTGGGCAGCAGCTCAGCCGTGAGTGAGGATGAGGAGGACACCATTCTGGATGTGTGGACTCTCAGTCTGCCAGACAGATGGAGACTGTACCGGTAATACTCCCCCTCATCCCCTAGGCAACGCCAGTCTGCAAGAGCGTTTATTCCCATTGAGCATAATTATGTCAACTAATTACAAAGAAAATGTATGCACTGATCCCCTCAGCTCAAAGGCAAGATTTTGCTCTATAACTTTCTGTCACCGTGGCAATGTAACTGTGCTTAGCTTGTGAAAGCAAAGTCGTCATGGCCACACAAACCACACAAATCACACAGGTGTGCGTTTGGCTTTGCCTCCTTAAGTAACGGATGTCTTGATCTGACTGGGGAAAAGACTAGTGCAAGGCTCAGTTGTGTGCCGGCCAAAAAGCCATCTTGGATTAAACCCAAAAATGTAATGTTAAGTCACAGCTTCAGCCTGTTTGATTGACTCCGTAAATCACTCAAGCAATAAAGGACTCTGCTGAAAGCATTATTACCAATCTCAAATATTCTGAATTTGATTGTGCTGTATGATTATGTCTGGTAAACACACCTGTTCAATGGGTGTTATATCATTCTTATGACCTACTTATTTAGACTATATTAGTGGCCTTGCAGTGAAATGCTACTCAATGACGTAATCTACGTCTGCAGGTTTTGGGTGCGGCGTTACCGGACGGAGCTGCGTATGCGAGCCCAGCAGGCGGAGCAGGACTATCAGGACGCTGCCGAGCGTCTGGCTGAGATTCGTCTCCATGAGGACATACTTGTCCTGAAGGATGCCAAGGTCATCGGCATGACGACTACGGGGGCTGCTAGATGCCGCAAAGCTTTGCAGGAAGTGAGTCCCCGCCTGGTGATCGTGGAAGAGGCGGCGGAGGTACTGGAGGCCCACACCATCACCACTCTGAGCCAGGCTTGCCAGCACCTCATCCTCATTGGAGACCACCAACAGGTACAGGACACTCATTGGTCAGGCATGGTCAACTCCCTCTCAAAGATTTCACTGTTATTCCAGTAAATCCAGGAACTCAGCTGGACATCGTGCTTGAACATTTTTCAAGTTCCTAATGTAAACTGGGCTTTTTAAAAATTGAAAGTCCATGGTCATTTTCATTTCTTAATTGGCTGGGATTGAAATTCAATCAACGTCCAACTCTGCTTGGAGCTAAACTAAGACCTCATCCAGCACACCCAGCTATAAGGTCTTACATAATTTGACTTAATTCCTTTTAGCTCTGAGTGAATACAGTGCCTTCAGTAAGTATTCGCACCCATTGACTTTGTCCATATTCTGTTGTGTTACAGCCTGAATTTAAAATGGATTAAATTGAAATGTTGTGTCACTGGCCTACACAATATACCCCATAATGTCAAAGTGGAATTATGTTTTTTGAAATTGTTATAAATTAATTAAAAATGAAAAGCTTTTTAACCTTTGTTATGGCAAGCCTAAATAAAGTCACGTAAGTTGCATGGACTCACTCTGTGCAATCATAGTGTTTAACATGATTTTTGAATGACTACCTGATCTCTGTACCCCACACATACAATTATCTGTAAGGTCCCTCAGTCGAGCAGTGAATTTCAAACACAGATTCAACCACGAAGACCAGGGAGGTTTCCCAATGCCTCGCAAAGAAGAGCACCTATTGGTAGATGGATAGTGCTTTGCGAGGTACAAAAGTATGTGGACACCTGCTCGTCGAACAGCTCATTCCAAAATCATGGGCATTAATATGGAGTTGGTCCCCCCTTTGCTGCTATAACAGCCACCATTCTTCTGGGAAGGATTTTCCACTAGATGTTGGAACATTGCTGCGGGGAATTGCTTCCATTCAGCCACTAGTGTATTAGTGAGGTCGGGCACTGCTGTTGGGCAATTAGGCCTGGCTCGCAGTCGGCGTTCCAATTCATCCCAAAGGTGTTCGATGGGGTTGAGGTCAAGGCTCTGTGCAGGCCAGTCAAGTTCTTCCACACCGATCTCGACAAACCATTTCTGTATTGACCACGCTTTGTGCACGGGGGCATTGTCATGCTGAAACAGGAAAGGGCCTTCCCCAAACTGTTGCCACAAAGTTGAAAGCACAGAATCGTCTAGAATCTAATTGTATGCTGTAGCATTAAGATTTCCCTTCACTGGAACTAAGGGCCCGAAGATTAGTCCGTCGGACTGCCAGATGGTGAAGCGTGATTCATCATTCCAGAGAACGTGTTTCCAATGCTCCAGAGTCCAATGGCGGGGAGCTTTATACCACTCCAGCTGACGCCTAGCATTGCGCATGGTGATCTTAGGCTTGTGTGTGGCTGCTCGGCCATGGAAATCCATTTCATGAAGCTCCCGACGAACAGTTCTTGCTTCCAGAGCCCATTTGTAACTCGGTAGTGAGTGTTGCAACCAAGGATGGATGATTTTTAAGCGCCACTTGCTTCAGCACTCGGTGGTCCCGTTCTGTGAGCTTGTGTGGCTTACCACTTTGCGGCTGAGCCGTTGTTGCTCCTAGACGTTTCCACTTCACAATAACAGCCCTTACAGTTGACCGGGGCAGCTCTAGCAGGGCAGAAATTTGACCAATTGACTTGTTGGAAAGGTGGCATCCTATGACGGTGCCACATTGAAAGTCACTGAGCTCTTCAGTAAGGCCATTCTACTGTCAATGTTTGTCTATGGAGATTGCATGGCTGTGTGCTCGATTTTATACACCTGTCAGCAACGGGTGTAGATTAAATATCTGAATCCACTAATATGAAGGGGTGTCCACATACTTCTGGAGATGTCGTGTAACTCTACCTGAAAATACATGATCTAAGTGATACCATCAACACAAGGCCAAATCTACACTGGAGTTGCTTACCAAGAAGACAGTGAATGTTCCTGAGTGGCCAAATTACAGTTTTGACTTAAATTTGCTTGAACATCTATGGCAAGACCTGAAAATAGTTGTCTAGCAATGATCAACAACCAATTTGACAGAGCTTGAAGAATTTTGAAAATAATAATAGGCAAATGTTGCATTATCCAGGTGTGGAAAGCTCATGGAGATTTACCCAGAAAGACTCACAGCTTTAATCGCTTCCAAAGGTGCTTCTACAAAGTATTGACTCAGTGGTGTCAAAAGTTTGGACACACCTACTCTTTGAAGGGTTTTTCTTTATTTTTACTATTTTTTACATGAAGACATCAAAACTATGAAATAACACATATGGAATCATGTAGGAACTAAAAAAGTATTAAACAAATCAAAATATATTTAGATTTTAGATTCTTCAAAGTAGCCACCCTTTGCCTTGATGGACAGCTATGCACACTGCATATGTGTTATTTCATAGTTTTGATGTCTTCACTTTTATTCTACAATGTAGAAAATAGTCAAATAAAGAAAAACCCTTGACTGGTACTGTATGTAAATGAAATATTTCTGTATTTCATTTTCAATAAATTTGCAACAATTTCTAAAAACATGTTTTCACTTTGGCATTATGGGATATTGTGTGTAGATGGGTGAGAATAAACATCTATTGAATCCATTTTGAATTCAGGCTGTAACACAACAAAATGTGGAATAAGTTAAGGGGTATGAATACTTTCTGATGGCTAAGGTACTTTGGGAATATCTCATGTCTTTTACTCAGTTCAAATCATCCACTTTATTCAAGGCTGGTAGTCTTGAGATGTTGCGCTTTGCTTTTGTCAAGCTTATACCTTTTTCCTGTAATGTAGGTGGATCACACTTTCGATAAAAAAAAGCTTTGGCTTTGTAGTGCTATTCATTAATCATACGTTTGTGGTTGAATTTTAACACAGTCAGGCGGAAACAAACTGAACAATAACTCAATAACTGTCCCCTAAATCAAGCTGACACACGTGAAAAGAAACAGCAAAACAGGATAGGATAGAAAACCTCAGAGTTTATTTGCATATACACTGAGTATACAAAACATTACATAGACTGACCCGGTGAATCCAGGTTGAAGCTTTGATCCCTTATTAATGTCACTTGTTAAATCCACTTCAATCAGTGTAAATGAAGGGTAGGAGACAAGTTAAAGAAGGATTGTTAAGCCTTGAGACAATTGAGACATTGATTGTGTATGTGTGCCATTAAGAGGGTGAATGGGCAAGACAAAATATTTAAGTGTCTTTGAACGTAGGTGCCAGGCGCACCGGTTTGTGTCAAAAACTGGGTTTTTCATGCTCAACAGTTTCCCGTGTGTATCAAAAATGGTCCACCACCAAAAGGACATCCAGCCAACTTGACACAACTGTGGGAAGCATTGGAACCAACATGGGCCAGGATCCCTGTGTAACGCTTTCGACACCTTGTAGAGTCCATGCCCCGACAAATTGAGGCTGTTCTGGGGGCAATGGGGGAGGGGGGGGGGGTGCAACTCAATATTAGGAAGGTGTTATTAGGAAGCTTTGTATTCTCAGTGTATATTTTCCATACTCTTTACTTTATTACATTTATTTGTGCCAGGTTTAGTTGAAAGCCAAATATTCGTCTGTAGTGGGCAGCTGATTAAAAACAGTGATCTCCTCGACTCTATTGTGTGTTTATATTGTCTAAAACTGTTGAAATGAGGTGGTCCATGCCATCCTCTCTTGAGATTCAGGGGTACTCATGTAGCTTGCAACCTCATTGTCCCCCTAGCTCCGGCCCAGTGCAACAGTGTTTGACCTGGCCAAAAACTTCAATCTTGAAGTGTCCATGTTTGAGAGGCTGATCAAGATGGACTTTCCGTATGTCAGACTTAACTACCAGGTATGTGAGGGAATCTGAAGGGAAGTTTATATGGACAAACCAGATAAACCAATTACCATTGTTCTTCATTCTCCATTAACCAATGCTCTCACTCTGGGTCTATCCCACACAGCATCGTATGAGGCCAGACATTGCCTGTCTCCTGGTCCCTCACATCTACTCTGAGCTGGAGAACCACCCCTCAGTGATGGACTTCGAGAATGTTAAGGTAAATCAATGCATACATACAGTGAGGGAAAAAAGTATTTGATCCCCTGCTGATTTTGTACGTTTGCCCACTGACAAAGAAATGATCAGTCTATAATTTTAATGGTAGGTTTATTTGAACAGTGAGAGACAGAATAACAACAAAAATATCCAGAAAAATGCATTTTAAAAATGTTATAAATTGATTTGCATTTTAATGAGGGAAATAAGTATTTGACCCCCTCTCAATCAGAAAGATTTCTGGCTCCCAGGTGTCTTTTATACAGGTAACGAGCTGTAATTAGGAGCACACTCTTAAAGGGAATGCTCATAATCTCAGCTTGTTACCTGTATAAAAGACACCTGTCCACAGAAGCAATCAATCAATCAGATTCCAAACTCTCCACCATGGCCAAGACCAAAGAGCTCTCCAAGGATGTCAGGGACAAGATTGTAGACCTACACAAGGCAGGAATGGGCTACAAGACCATCGCCAAGCAGCTTGGTGAGAAGGTGACAACAGTTGGTGCGATTATTCGCAAATGGAAGAAACACAAAAGAACTGTCAATCTCCCTCGGCCTGGGGCTCCATGCAAGATCTCACCTCGTGGAGTTGCGATGATCATGAGAACGGTGAGGAATCAGCCCAGAACTACACGGGAGGATCTTGTCAATGATCTCAAGGCAGCTGGCACCATAGTCACCAAGAAAACAATTGGTAACACACTACGCCGTGAAGGACTGAAATCCTGCAGCACCCGCAAGGTCCCCCTGCTCAAGAAAGCACATATACAGGGCCGTCTGAAGTTTGCCAATGAACATCTGAAAATGGAGCTCTTTGGCATCAACTCAACTTGCCGTGTTTGGAGGAGGAGGAATTCTGCCTATGACCCCAAGAACACCATCCCCACCGTCAAACATGGAGGTGGAAACATTATGCTTTGGGGGTGTTTTTCTGCTAAGGGGACAGGACAACTTCACCGCATCAAAGGGACGATGGACGGCGCCATGTACCGTCAAATCTTGGGTAAGAACCTCCTTCCCTCAGCCAGGGCATTGAAAATGGGTCGTGGATGGGTATTCCAGCATGACAATGACCCAAAACACACGGCCAAGGCAACAAAGAGGTGGCTCAAGAAGAAGCACATTAAGGTCCTGGAGTGGCCTAGCCAGTCTCCAGACCTTAATCCCATAGAAAATCTGTGGAGGGAGCTGAAGGTTTGAGTTGCCAAACGTCAGCCTCAAAACCTTAATGACTTGGAGAAGATCTGCAAAGAGGAGTGGAACAAAATCCCTCCTGAGATGTGTGCAAACCTGGTGGCCAACTACAAGAAACGTCTGACCTCTGTGATTGCCAACAAGGGTTTTACAACCAAGTACTAAATCATGTTTTTCAGAGGGGTCAAATACTTATTTCCCTCATTAAAATGCAAATCAATTTATAACATTTTTGACATATTTTTGTTGTTATTCTGTCTCTCACTGTTCAAATAAACCTACCATTAAAATTATAGACAGATCATGTCTTTGTCAGTGGGCAAACGTACAAAATCAGCAGGGGATCAAATACTTTTTTCCCTCACTGTAGATTTTTGACATGATAGTTTCCCTCTTAGCAAGAGTACATTTAAAGTAAGCTGTTTATCAATGAATTTCCCCATGTGGTCAATTCAATGTACCATTAATAAAGCATGATAAACCGTCTATATGTGTAGGCTTTAGAAGTTAGTTGCGGTCCAATATACATCATATTCAACCCCCTGTTGTCTTGCAGGGGCTTCACTCAAACATGTTCTTTGTGGAGCATAATTACCATGAGGAGGAGATCAAGGATGGAAAGAGTCACCAGAACCGCCACGAGGCCCTCTTCGTGGTAGCTCTGTGTCGCTACCTCCTGTTACAGGACTACCAGCCGTTCCAGATCACCATCCTCACCACTTACACAGGGCAACTCCACTGTCTGCGCAACCTCATGCCAGCCAAAGAGTTCAATGGGGTCAAAGTTCATGTTGTGGACAAATATCAAGGGGAGGAAAATGATATTGTCCTGCTGTCCCTGGTTCGAAGTAACAAACAGGGGAAGGTGGGTTTCTTGAACATCCCCAACCGTGTCTGTGTAGCCCTGTCACGGGCTAAGAAGGGCCTCTACTGCATTGGAAACATGGACATGTTGGGAAAGGTCAAGCTTTGGAGCAACATCCTGCACACGCTGCGAGAGAAAGACCAAGTGGGCCCTGCACTGACTTTGTGCTGCCAGAACCACCCTGAGAAACACATTAAAGTGTCCTGCGGAGACGACTTCAAACAAGCTCCTGAGGGAGGCTGCAACCTGCCCTGCGAGTTCCGCTTGAACTGTGGTCACGTGTGCGCCAGTGCCTGCCACCCGTACGACCAAGAGCACAAAAAGTACACATGTAACAAGAAGTGCCAGAAGGTCCTCTGTGAGCTGGGGCATCGATGCCAACTTCAGTGCTACCAGGAGTGCTCTACTGACTGCCTTAAGCAGGTAGAAAAGATTGTACCACAGTGCCAGCACAAGCAGATGGTGCCCTGTCACCAGGCTCCAGAGAAGTTTGTGTGCCAGGAGCCCTGTCAGAAGAATTTAATGTGTGGGCATCCATGTGCCTTGGTGTGTGGGGAGTCCTGCACCACCACCTGCATGGTGATGGTCATATTTGAGCTCAAATGTGGACACAAGCAAGAAGATCCCTGTCATTTTAAAAGATCTACCATACAGCCAGACTGCAGGGCACATTGTAAACAGATGCTGAAGTGTGGCCACCCCTGTCCTGGTTCCTGCCAGAGGTGCCACCAGGGCCGCTTCCACATGGGCTGTTCCCACCAATGTGATCGCCTCCTTGTCTGCTCCCATAAGTGTCGGGAGCCCTGTACACGTGGATGCCCACCCTGTCCAATGCGCTGTGAGAATCGCTGCGTCCATAGTGTCTGTATGAAGCCCTGTGGCCAGCCCTGTGCCCCCTGCATAGAGCCTTGCGCCTGGAAGTGCCCTCATCAGCGCTGCAACAAGCTTTGCCATGAGCCTTGTGACCGTCCACCATGCGCCCAACCCTGTACCAAAACCTTGCACTGTGGGCACCCATGCATCGGCTTGTGTGGAGACCCCTGCCCCAACAAGTGCCGTGTTTGCCACCACGAGGAGGTAACAGAGATCTTCTTTGGTACGGAGGACGATGTTGAGGCCTGTTTCATTCAGCTAGAGGACTGCGGACACCTTTTTGAGTCCACGTCCATGGACACATACATGGAGATGGATGAGAACCAGGAGGCTACCGAGGAGAAGGTCGCAATAAAGTTGAAGGAGTGCCCCAAGTGTCGCACACCCATCCGCAGAAATCTCCGGTACGGGGCTCATGTCAACCGGAGTCTGGTGGAAATTGAGAAAGTGAAGGAGAAGATTAATGGAACACAGTCAGATATTGAGGTACAGAAGGTTGTCCTTAAGCAGCAATGGATTGACAAGGAGGACTTGCTAAGGTACCTACCTATGGAGTACATACAGATCAGAGATACACTGAAAGCATCCAACCTCACAGCGAAGGAACTATGGATCACTGAGAACAAGATGGCCTTACTTGAGAGACTGAACAAGCTGCTGAAGATTCGTAGGGGGCACATGTCAAGCGCGCAAACCTTTTACTTTGACAAGAATGTTCCGGAGTTCCTGAAGTGGCTGATGGATCATCACCAAAAGTTCACAGAGCAGCAGGCTTCTGATCTGCAGAGCGAGCTACAGAGGCTCTCCTTTTTGGCGGAGCTCAACGCCCGCTGCAAGATGGCTAATGGAACAGGCCGTGGGGTCAACGTTCAGGCTGAGGTCACAGCCATAAGGAAGGTTCTGGAGAGAATGCAGCCTTTCACTCAGCAAGACGAGGACTTGGTAAAGCAAGCACTTAAAGACCTGTATAAAAAGCTACCAAGCACTGGCCTTGGGATCACTGATGAAGAAAGGATAATGATTGTTAAAGCTATCGACCTGAGTGTTGGACACTGGTACAAGTGCCCCAACGATCACATCTACGCCATCGGAGAATGTGGAGGGGCCATGGAGCGTAGCAACTGCCCAGAATGCAAAGCTACGATTGGTGGAGCAAGCCATGCTCTGGCCAGTGGCAACAGAGTGGCATCAGAGATGGATGGGGCGCAAGGTGCTGCGTGGTCCGAAGTCAACAATGTGCTGAACTTTGACCTGATGCACCTTGATGATTAAAAACAGATTGTTTTCAGTTTAATTGTGACTTGTCATGACTGATGTGACAGTTATCACAATGTGCACTCCAGAAAGCATAGCTGTATTAATTGATATATTTAATGCTGAAATTACAGTAAATGATTCATTGAATGTGATGAAATGAATCTGCTTCGCAAAATATAATACATATTCAGTTTTATTTCGCAGAGGTGATGTTTAACAATGTCACTCCAGAGTACAATACCGAAATTATTTGTGACTTTTTGCTACTGTATCTGTGTGATCTTGAAAGTTGAAAATTAACGATTGCTCAAAAAATCATTACACATAATGTTCAACCCAATGTACAATAATGAATTATGCAAACGATTAGACTGGATTGTTACGTGTGATGATGGGCCTACATTTTTAGACACCTGAGTGTATTTTTCCAGTCACACCAATGGATGGCAGCAGTGTATTGTTAATTTAACAAAGAGTTGGCTTGATACTTGCAATTCTGGCCTTTTACACAAATATAATAAAACTATCTGAGATGATCCAATATGTTTGCAAAATGATTTTCTAACACACACATTCACACATGAATGATTCAGCTGACTCAGTTCATATAATATGATAAAGGGGCTGAAAAACAAACTCTGGTATGAAAAGCAAACATTGTAAAAGTAAGTAATATTCACACACTTGTGCACAAACCAAGTGTTCAGGATACAAAGCGCTGGATACTGTGTGCCAGCCGGGGGGGGGGGATGTATTTTTGGGGAAACCAATATTCAATTTTTTTCTTCCGTCTGCGACTCAATATGGGAAATTACTGTTATTTGTATAGCACTGGGAAAGGAGCAGAGATTAGATGTGGCCAGGGTGAGCATCCACAACATCCTTGCGTGGAGTACATTAGGGTTAGTGTCGCCACCATTTTGGCCTGGTCAATTATGTAGATAAACTGAAACTCTTGGACATTGCCCATTTATTTAAATTAGGATAGGCCTACTTTATGTATTAGTTGAATACATTTTCTGAAAATGTTGTTAACTGAGTTATAGTGTATTTGACCCTAACCTATAAGTGATTGTCAGGTAACTAGGTGGCAGGGCAGAGGGGTTTGACTTGGTGTGGCTAGTCGTATGGACCCGTCCAGAGACAACCCTTAGTTCCTACTCCCTAGGCACTTAAGGCACTGGCAGATCAGATCAGTATAAGCAAAACGGAACAAAAATATAAACGCAACATGTAAAGTGTTGGTCCAATGTTTCATGAGCTGAAATAAAATATCCCAGAAATGTTCCATATATAGAAAAAACAAATTTGTTTACATCCCTGTTAATGACCATTTCTCATTTGCCAAGATAATCCATCCACCTGATGGTTGTGGCATATCAAGAAGCTGATTAAACAGCATGATCATTACACAGGTGTACCTTGTGCTGAGGACATTAAAATGCCACTTTAAAATGTGCAGTTTTGTCAAACAACACAATGCCACACGTCTCAAGTTTTGAGGGAGCATGCAATTGGCATGCTGACCGCAGGAATGTCCACCAGAGGTATTGCCAGAGAATTGAATGTTCATGTCTCTACCATAAGTTGTGTCCCTTTGTCCTTTTAGAGAATTTGTAAGTACGTCCAACCAGCCTCACAACCGCAGACCACGTGTAACCACGCCAGCCTAGGACCTCCACATCCGGCTTCTTCACCTGCGTGATCGTCTGAGAACAGCCACCCGGACAGCTGAGGAAAGTGTGGGTTTGCACAACTGAAGACTTTCTGCACAAACTATCAGAAACCATCTCAGGGAAGCTCATCTGCGTGCTCGTCGTCCTCACCAGGGTCTTGACCTGACTGCAGTTTGGCGTCGTAACCGACTTCAGTGGGCAAATGCTCAACTTTGATGGCCAATGTCGCAAGGATCTGTACACAATTCCTGGAAGCTGAAAATGGCCAAGTTCTTCCACGGCCTGCATACTCACCAGACATGTCACCCTTTGAGCATGTTTGGGATGCTCAACTCTATGTGAAGGAGATGTGTCGCGCTGCATGAGGCAAATGGTGGTCACACCAGATACTGACTGATTTTCTGATCCATGCCCCTACCTTTTTTGTTAAGGTATCTGTGACCAACATATGCATATCTGTATTCCCAGTCATGTCAAATCCATAGATTAGGGCATAATGTATTTATTTAAATTGACTGATTTCCTTATATGAACAGTAAAATCTTTGATGTTGTTTCATGTTGCGTTTATATTTTAGTTCAGTGTAGTAGTAGCTTTACCTTGCTCTCTGATAGGTTGGTAGGATTTTTTACCATATTTCTTATACCTATCCAATTCCCTCAGATCTACACAAGTGCATAGGTTTAGGTGGTAGGGGTTGATTCTGGACGGGGCCAGGGTTTTTGTATGTAGCCTTGATTTTTATCGTCAGGAGCAGTTCCCTTTCCAGCCTGATGGTTGAGCACCAGTGAGTCAGATATGAGACACACACAGAGACACGTACACCTGAAAGTCTGAAGTTTTAAAGATGACCGAAACACCCTTTATGCATCATTTAGAAATGTACACAGGCTGCATGGAGTTGCAGTATTATAAACTGCGTGGCAGGATCATCAGATTTCTCACACTCTCAGTCAAAACATGACACACGGCTAGCTGGCCAATAATAAAACATTACCGGAATTTCAAACGGAACATTCTTGGCAGTGAAGCAGCAAGACCTAAACTGACGTTTGTTTTCTCCAATTCATAGGATTTGTGGCTGACATCCATTTAAGGCGTTACGCAGCAGCTTGCATCACTTTATTACATGATGAATGTAGCCTTGTCACAAACCAAGATCTAATGCAAACTGTGCTCTCTCTGCAGAAATAAAAAAACTGTAGTGTCAGGATAAGGGGGAAAAACAAGCAAACTTGAAACGGATGCCAAGCTGTCAGTCTTTTTGGTGTTTTGGTTTCAGAGACAGACTTGGACTAAAGGAAGCTCTGCAGAAAAATTGTAACATCCTATGGGGCACGCAGGCTCATCTATCACGTTAGATTCCCTTTAAGAAAACATCTGTCCGAGTCTTCGACTCATCCTAGCCCAAGTCTCACTTGGCCTAACATACAAGACAATTGCCTGTGTCCTTAGATGATTGAACAGCTTTCAAGGATGATTGAAATTAGAGGAGGATTAAATTAAAGCACAATTAAAGCAAGGTGCTAAATTGGAAAAAACACCAGCCACTCAAGCCATAGACTGTTCACTCTGTTACTGCACGGCAAGCGGTACCGGAGCACCAAGTCTGGGACCAAAAGGCACCTAAACAGCTTCTACCCCAAGCGATAAGACTGCTGAACAGTTCATCAAATGGCTACCCTGACTATTGCATTGACACTTTTTTGCACTCCCGAGTGGCGCAGCGGTCTAAGGCACTGCATCTCAGTGCTTGAGGCGTCACTACAGACCCCCTTGTTCGATTCCAGGCTGTATCACAACTGGCCGTGATTGGGAATCCCATAGGGCAGCGCACAATTGGCCCAGCGTTGTCCGGGTTTGGCCGGTGTAGGCCGTCATTGTAAATAAGAATTTGTTCTTAACTGACTTGCCTAGTTAAATAAAGGTTAAATAAAAATAAAATAAAAACCACTGACTCTATGCAAACTCACTGGACTCTACCCACACACTCACATACACCTTTCCTTGAAAGTGGTAGCTGGCTATAATCCATGGCTTTTGGTTAGGGTACGTACTGTGGGGACATCACTGTGGGGACGACGTCGTCGATGCACTTATTAATGAAACCCGTGACTGATGTTATCGGATTAATCCCTGAACATATTCCAGTCTGTGCTAGCAAAGCAGTCTTGTAGTTTAGCGTCCGCTTTGTCAGATCGCTTCCGTACTGAGCACGTCACTGGTACTTCCCCACTCTCTCTGTTAATGACCATTCCACACACACACACACACACACACACACACACACACACACACACACACACACACACACACACACACACACACACACACACACACACACACACACAGGCTGCTACTCTGTTTATTATCTAACGTGATTGCGTAGTCACTTTTACCCCTACCTACATGTACATATTATCGCAACTACCTCGTACCCCTGCACATTGACTCAGTACAGGTACTCCTTGTATATAGCCTTGTTATTGTTATTTATTGTGTTACTATTTTCTATTTTTATTTGCAAATGTTCTTACTTTTTAACTCTGCATTGTTGAGAAAGGGCTCGTAAGGAAGCACTTCACGGTAAAGTCTACACCTGATGTATTCGGAGCATGTGACAAATAAAATGTGATTTCATTTGAGCTGTCTCTGCTAAGCATCCTTTCCCACAGCACTGGTAGCAGAAGACCACACTGCCTGTGCTAGGCGCAGCAACATCCTAGTTCTGAATAAATTTAAACATATTTATTAGATAAAGAAGAAAAATGCCTGAATAAATGCCTAATAGATGACCACTGGCTCATAATAGTTTATTAAAACCTAACTTTTATTATGTTAATTCGATTGATGCACGGGTGCGTCAATCGACTCTTAAAGGTGCAATATGCAGAAATCGCTCAGCCATTTCCTGGTTGCTAAAATTCTAATAGTTCACCTAATTTCAGTATATGTGACAAAACAAGCAATAGATAATCATCTAAACCGCTTTTTTTTTTATAACCAGCTTTATTTTCAGCTGTTTGAAGCTGGTGTAAAAAAACGAAAATAAAATACGGAAAAACTAAACTTAAGAACGGGAAGAATAGAAATAGCGCCCATAGAGTGCATTCAGAAAGTATTCAGACCCTTTGAATTTTTCCTAACAAAAATTACGTTACAGCCTTATTCTAAAATGGATTAAATTGTTTTTTTCCCTCATCAATCTACACACAATACCCCATAATGACAAAGCAAAAACAGGTTTTTTGTAATGTTTGCAAATGTATTAAAAATAAAAAACAGAAATATCACATAAGTATTCAGACCCTTTACTCAGTACTTGGTTGAAGCACCTTTGGCAGCGACTACAGCCTCGAGTCTTCTTGAGTATGATGTTACAAGCTTGGCCACACCTGTATTTGGGGAGTTTCTCCCATTCTTCTCTGCAGATCCTCTCAAGCTCTGTCAAGTTGGATGGAGAGCGTCGCTGCACAGCTATTTTCAGGTCTCTCCAGAGATGTTCGATTGGGTTCAGGTCCGGGCTCTGGCTCGGCCACTCAAGGACATTCAGAGACTTGTCCCGAAGCCACTCCTGCGTTTTCTTTGCTGTATGCTTAGGGTCGTTGTCCTGTTGGTGGGTGAACCTTCGCCACAGTCTGGTGCCCTGAGCATAGGATTTACAGTATTTAGCCTGTAAAAATAACTGTGAAATGTTTATATGACCCCCTTACAAACAGTCCCATTTTCACCACATTCTTGCCTGCATACACCTTTTTAACAGTACCTCCCGTGCGCATGCCGGCATGCCGGACAAGTGGTAATAGTGGTGTGCAGATGTGAGTGGGCATCTATTATAATGAATCCATTGAGAATATACACAA